ACGAAACGCAAGGGACCATGGGAATTGCCATCCCTCACTCCTCCCCATTATTACAGATTATACGCACGGAAACCTGTATAACTTTTTCCGTTTCGAGAAAATGGCGGCACAACGGGACGGTTTTATCAATTTCTCGCTGGACTTTATCACGAAGACTTGGGTCGGAAAGCTGAAAGTGGCAGAGCTAGTTTTTACGTTGCTTGGTGGTGCTTGTGGTACCGCAATTTCCTGCCTTTACGGTAACAGTTGCGGTTGTTCTCCGAAATTAGGCTTTTTCGATTTTGTCGCATGGACCGCCTTTATTAACGCCTTGATCGACATGATAATCCATCTCGTTGGGTTGTGGGATCGACTTCTTTGGATTTTCCGTCATCCTGCGGTTCATACAGTGTTGTGTTTACTGGCGGTCGTTGGTTTTCTTATTGGCTCCAGTCTTGCTGCTTCAGTTGCTGGAGCTGATTGGTGTTCAACAAGCGCGAGTACCGCTGGGGCAGCTGCTTTCTTCGGCTTCGTCTGCTTGGTCTTGTTTGCTGTCGAGTGCTTTCTTCACTTCAAGGAGTACAGAAGCATGCAAAGCGAAGCTCGTCAACAATCTTCCGGGCAAGATCAGCCGCCAGATTATATCGAAGAAAAACCTACAAACGGACCTGGAGTTGTGTGAAGATGTTTTCAAGACTACTCAAGTGCCTTCCCCTGCACCAGATATTTGATATTTTTAAGAATCGGCCCACATGTACATTCTAATGAAGTTTCTAGTAACGAAAGGAAGAGCGAGAGAGCAAACGTGGACATGAAGGATTAACTCACACTTCAAATATGTTTCCTAATGATTGTTTTTGGAAAATGAAATTTCACTTGCTGTATTCTTGTACAAGAATTGAAATTTCAGTGAACAATATGTTACTATTCTTTGTAAGGAATTAGTATTTACTCAGTTTTGGTAGTTCACAAAGTAAATAACAGGTGAAAAATACAAAAAAATAACCTTATATAGTTCCCAGCATAAGCCTTGGAACTGTTTGGTAAATATCGAACTTTATTGAACCCAACCAAATTTCATCGAATGATTGGTTTCAATTAAGTTCAGTAATCCAACACAATCGAACCAAAAAATTTGCGTAATCGAACTCAGTCAATTAGATTTGATTGGGTTTGATTCCTAAAACTTTTTTGTGAGAGTTCAATTGCATCCAATTACTGAACCCAATCATTCCATTAAGTTCGATTGATTTTGATTAAGTCTGATTAATAAAATGTTCAATTTCGTTCGAGTGAGAAGAATGGCTGAGTTGAACAAATCCAAATTCATTTTAGTAGCCGTTTGGAATTGATTTTGATGACGCCGTGCTTCACAGGGACTTAAAAGTCACTAAATTTGATTCAACTCTTGAATTCTGTGTCTCAACTGGGCCTGAGGCTCAAAAATTTGTTTTTGTTTGCAGGTCAAGTTGAGTGGTCTGAACATAGACCAATTCGGCTAACTCAATGTTGTACCCAATTCAAACCCTTTGGGAATAAAACGTTTTGTTTCAGGAATTTCCATATCATTTAAATGTGAATGCCACCTTATAATGCAAATACAGTGCACAAAGAATCTGCACCCTGAGAGATCTGAATTGGGTACATTGCGTTAGCCGAATAGGTCTGTTTTTATGTTAGATCCTTCCCTGGGAGCAAAGTCATTTGCATGGCTTGTCAGTTTCGAAGTTGTTTTTTTTACGCCCCTCGGTAGAGGATCCAGTAGTCGTATCCCTAGATATCCAAAGCTCTTCATTTTCATTCCCACGAGCATTATGCTACATGCTAAACACAGCCTTGTCTCCTGTGGTTTACCTTGGAAAAGTGGACATTTTAATTTTTTGGGAAAGTGAAAAGTCATTCACAGGGTTTTTTATTTTCTAACTTTAGTTCAAGTAAATAATTTACGGCCTGTGTGTTTTTGAAAATGCTTTAGTTAAGGCTGTTGTTGCTTAACTTTTTCCACCAGGTGTGGCGGAAACCTGGTTCTGTAATTTTGACCCACTGTGAGTTAAAAGCTTTTGATCTGCAGGTGCAGTGAGACCCATGCTTTAAGTGGGAGAGTCAGCATGTAAACCTTAATGAGAGTCTAAATTTATTAATGAGTATTAATGATATAGAAAAACTACTGAAGGCATTATTACAGATATTACCTCTAAACCACGATGTTTAGGTTTGTTGTGAGGTAGAGACTATGTCAGCAATAATGATATTATTGTGTATTCCTTTTTGTCATAAACGTACAACTTTATGTATTGTAAATTCAATCTTTTTTATTTTCACTGTTTTTTTCATTTAAAATATTAATAGGAGGAAATTAGCAAAGGGAGCTATATATATTTGAGCTGTAAATTTATGAAAGGAAAATCAGCATTAACAATATTATACCTGAAATATTAATGACTACCTATTAATCCAAGTTGCACCAATTTGATGTAAAAACAATTTTTGGAAAGGTATTAACTAGTATTACTTAGTTATATATTCAAAGTGTTCTTTTCTTACATCCCTACTGAACAAAGTTTAGTTAAGTATCTTTTTTCATAAAATTATCATGTAGATACTCTTTAGCTTTTGTAGTTATAGAACAAAGTTCATTTGCTGACTGTCTTTTTTTAAGTTTGCCAACCTCCCCAGAGCCAATATTCCTTTTGTTTAGCACAAAATATGAATCAAATTGATGTGATATAACCTACCTTAATAAACTGGGGACAAGACAGAAACTCTTGGTTACAAGTCCGTAAAATACATATCTATATGTCAAGATGTATTCCATAGGTATTATGGTGTGACCTGGAAAACTGTGAACACTTGAAGTATCTCAGAAGTGTTTGTTGTGTTATGACCAATCACAGCAAAGATCGGGACATGCAAACTAGCCACAAAACCACAAACTAATTAATGTCCTTGTTTGCAGTTCAGTTTTCTCACACCTGACTGGCTTTTTTCTTGCAAAACTTTAACATTCCAGAAATATTTCTGGTGTTCCCGCTTTTCCTGGTTTGCCTGTAACAGTATTTCATAATGATAGGTTTTTTGTGGTGCAAATGTTTTTATAACTGAAACTTTGTCACTTGTGTGGTATAATAAAAGCATTCCTTTTTAAAACAATGTATGGTGCTAACTGGGGATTTTAGTAAAAACATGCACTACTTAAAAGGTTGTTGTGGCCTGTTTCAATAATTTATTGGTCCAAGAAGGAAGTGAGTGACTTCAGACCATCCAAGAATCAAGCTGAAAGTGGTGCTACCATACTGGCATGTCACCTCATTTTGTATTTGGTGAATTCTTTTCTAGGGGTCTGGATAAAATATTAGTATAATACCCGCAGCCTTTAATTTGGGATTTGTAGGCAGAAGAGTATTAATGGAAGAAAGTTATTAGCCTGTATAGCTGACAGAATTGTTTTTGTGCATGTGAGAGTTTTGGTGCTCAAAGCTGCCATTCTTACAGCTTTGCCACAAGAAACGTGATTTCAAAGCCTATCCTCTCCATTCTCCATATGGCTTCGCAGCTCCTTTGCCTAAACTTTGCTTGTGCTAATGATCCTGCCTGATCACAGGCTAGAAAGTTATCTGTGGGAGGTATGTGCTAGACCTGATCTTCGGTATCCTCATGATCAAATGCCCAGAGGTAGATAATCTCGTAGGAACACTGCCTTGGGCATTATGCGTAAAAGTTTACAACAAGAATGAGAGAGCCTCTGGGTACTTTTTCTTACTCATTCTGGTCTGGGGTTGATCTCAGGGGTTGATCTCTTGTTCTTGTTGTAAGCTATTTAATGACTAATCCTAAATAGCTGCCCCTAGCATCTCTGAGGATGTATGTATCTCAACCTGGTTATATTGGGTTGGCCCTTCCAACTTAGCTAACTGCTTCCCAGTTAGCTTAGTTGGAAGAGCACCAGATGAGTTTGCTCAGTGGGAGGAAGAGGGCTCAAATCCTGGCCAGACCACCAACCAGGGTCTTAAAGCTGGAAAGATCATGTAGTTCTCATTTTTCTCCTTTGCTCAGATAACCATTTCATTGGGCAGTGATGTTAGGAGTTGGCCTGATCTCTTTCATCCTCTCATTAGTCAATTCGAAGAGGATGTAAAAGAGCCCACATGACTATTCAAAAAGTTCAGGGGGAGTTTCCCCTGCGGTGTGGTCTATCTCATCTCATTGCACGCATCATTCAAATCATGGGCTGGGTGGGTCAAAGTAAGCACAGAAGTGGATAGAACTGCGCATACATGCGGATTGGTTTGCATAGGATGAGTGTTATTTTGCTCATCACNATCCTCTCATTAGTCAATTCGAAGAGGATGTAAAAGAGCCCACATGACTATTCAAAAAGTTCAGGGGGAGTTTCCCCTGCGGTGTGGTCTATCTCATCTCATTGCACGCATCATTCAAATCATGGGCTGGGCGGGTCAAAGTAAGCACAGAAGTGGATAGAACTGCGCATACATGCTGATTGGTTTGCATAGGATGAGTGTTATTTTGCTCATCACTCTCAATTCAGCAACTGTCTTGCTTGCTGAGAGGCTGACTGGTCAGTCCCCAAGGTTATGTTTGTGCCCCCTTGCATCCTTCAATAGGGACAGCATACTGACTTTTCCTAGCTTGCTCTCCCTATCTCTTTACATTTCATAATCGGCCCCTTTTTCCGGGGGCAAGCATCAAAATCGATTGAAGAAGACTGCTCCGTATGCTGTTTGAGTTGTGTGAATAAAGCAGCGGCTTGTGTGATATTTTGGTGCATTAAGATTGTCTGGTGCTGCCCCTGAAATGGACCCAGGGACCTTCCCACTGTGCAACTCGCTATACACCGTTACCTGCTAGTCCTGGATAGAGGCAAATTGTCACTAGCCAGCGTAGTAGGCGCTTGGAAGTAGTAGGTGAAAGAGAGAACGGGTGCACGCGAGGGAGACACGCGAGGGGTGACATGAGGCCTTCACACGCGCCCGTTTTTTCTTGTGCCCACTACTTCCATTACTACTACTTATATTTTTCCTTTACTACTACTTATATTTTGGCTGATTAGATCTCTTTCTAGAGATCCAACGTTTACAACTAGCAGGATCTTCGTCCACAGTTTTTGCAGGTAATATAATCCTTTACTTCCAAGCGTCTGCTATGCAGGCTATAAAATAACAATTGGCCACACAAACAGATTGTGTGGGGACCCTGTGCACCCAAAGGTGTTTTACAACATCCTTTCCTCGTAACCACTTGTAACGTGAGTTTGGGCTACCTGTGGACCAATCATTCGTCGGTGTCGGTGAAGGGTGTCCTGCGCCTGCAATGAAATAGTACCCATAAGTCCTTGTTTTCGCAACAACCCAAGATGTCTGCCTTCTTGTACGCTCTACATCGGGAGCTCTTTTGCTTGAATGTTGATGATTATGAGGTTCAAAATGGACTACAATTGAAACAGATTGCATCTGAATGTTGTGGGGTAAGTCTTGATTCAATAGTTGTCCATAATCTCTTGCCGAAATGCAATAAAAAAACATCAAATTCTGTTTCCATTATTACGGAGTTGCATGGAGTTAAGCTTAAGCTTTAAGACTGAATTCATCAGGAAATTGAGTAATATTAATTTTAAGTAGACAAAAGCCTTGTACAAGAATAATTTAAAGCATATTGCATTCTTTTTCACATTTTTCAAGGGCTAAAGATGTAATTAGTCATCTGTAATAACCCCAAACTAAATTAATTATTTTTTCATGGGAGCCCGAGAAAATCTTACAGTTTAAAGTGTTTTACTGTAGAATGTGTACTTTAAAAATCTTAAAATGAACACAAAAGTGTTTAGAACGTACACTATTTAAAAGAAACCACAATAATGTCTACTGTTTAATGTCAGTAGCAATCGGCTTGAAAAATGAAAAAAAAACAAAACAAAATTAATCTTAAAATGATTTTAAGAAATGTTTTATCGCAATTTTTTATAGTGAAATGCTTTTCAAAATCACTTCTTGTTCGTAAAAACAAAAAAAACAATGCAATATTCTTTAAATTTTTCTGGTACAAGGTTTTTTCCATTAAAAATATTGATCTTTGCGTATGCAAGTCTTCAGATATCACAACAATCTTTGTTAAAGTGTGAAACCTTTTAAATTGACATAAAAAATTATAAGGTGGTTGTGGACTTCGGGGTAAAGTAATAGCTTTTAGCCACATTTTATTAAATGATTCAGCAAACTGTTGCTGTCTTCTTTTTAAGCATATACGTCCAAAGTGTAATCTTGAAATATCCCAGAAAACTATATGTATTAAATATTTTATTTATTAGTCATTTCTGATGAAGTGTTATTACATTCGTTTTCATCCACTCAAAACCAACTGCAACCCTTGTAGCTGGCTGATGATAAATTATTTTTACACTTTTGTGGTAAAGTTTACAAAGTATATCACTGGTCAAGTCACCTGAAAGTCATCTCACCCAAACCCCGGAGGTAATTTGAGCTCTGACAGATCAGATACACTGCCTCTTAACCTAGAAACACTTTTTAAAGAAATACACATAACACATTTTAAATAAAGTGTACTTCTTTTTCTCTAAGGCTGAAAATAGGAGGAAGAGTAAAAAGACAGTGCCTGTGCAGCTGTATGGGTCCACAGCTTTTGACGACATACAGTCAAACCACAATAATAAAGACACTGAGGAGGCCATAGAAAGTGTCCTTTTTAATGGGGTGTCCTTGTTAAGCAGGTTGGATTTAGAAAAATGTAACAGTGACAAAGCAAACTGTCCATAATAGTGAAGTGTCCATATTAAGTGGGTGTCCATAAAGTGGTGTTTGACTGTAACTTTATGATCATTGTTTGGTCAAGATGACTTTAAAGTGACTTGACTATGAAATAATAGTTATTTATTTATTAAATGGCAGGGCATACCAGTGGAAAAACTGTTTGTCATTCACAATGGCCATGTCACCTCAGATAGCAGTAAAGTTCACCTTCAAGCTGGAGATGTTTGTTACACAGCTCTGCATCTTCCTGGTGGAAAAGGAGGGTTTGGATCCATGCTGCGGGCACTTGGTGCACAGATAGAGAAGACAACAAACAGAGAAGCTTGCAGGGACTTGAGTGGGAGACGAATGAGGGATATCAACGATGAGAAAAAGTAGGAATCCAGGGCTGTGCTCTAGCGGAGCCCGGTGGCCCCTGGCGCCTAACTTTTGCCCTGGGGCGACTAGAAAATATCAGATTTTTTGCACAAATCATATGCTGGGCACCTATATTTTACAGTTTCAGTGCACTTTTCCATAGAGCACAGCCTTGAAACCTTTCAGCTGATTTTTTTCTAATTTAAACAAAGGCCACTACACATATCAGACAACTACTACCATAACTGTGTGTTGCTTCCCACTGTCGCCAGAAAAGGCGACTGAGAAAACATTGATCTTGTTACCTTTAATATTTGTGACCACTTTCTTTCTTTTCGGAGTTCATGACAACTGACCAAACTTTTTATTGTTTTATTGTTTTTACGTGTTTATATTAAGAGTAAAACCCCCTGTTACTTTTTAATAGTATAAGGAGACTTTTGTTGGAGTCGTTACTTTTGGAGATTTGTTTCTTTTCTGGGGTTTGGACAGGATTCTTCAATATTTTTACTCTCCCTTTGGCTTGGACTTGTAAGAGATGTTTTTCACGATCTTTTGCTAAGGGAATTTTTTCTTTGATTTTTATATCTTTTAGAATAGCTGAGTGGGTTTCTAAACAAGCTGAGAGGGAGCGTGAAAAAGAAATACAAAAACAACTGCGGATGGAGAGAAAGAGACAAATGCCTAAACATACGTTTGATGATGCAACATATACACAACACATCCAGGAAACTTGTGAACGAATTGAAGATGCCTTGCAGCAAGGTAAAACATTTTCATATTTTCACATTTGCTGCAGCTGTTGTCCTCTATCCTTTATCAATAAAAAATTGTCTTTTGGGAACCACCAACAGCCTTTATGTTACTGCCCTTTGGTAACCATCAGAATCAATACCCATCCATTCCTTCCGTCCACCCATCAATTCTTCTATCTGTCTCTTCTTGTTCTGCTGATTCTCAAAGCAAGGCTGTGGCCCCAGGCGACAAGAAGATCTTAGTTTTTCCATAGAAATATCAAGCTGAGCACCCTGGATTTCACAGGTTCAAGGCACTGGGCTCCCTTTGAGTTTTCTTAGAGCACACCCTTGTCAAAGAGCCCTGGAACAGGGTTTGTGTTTGGGCAAAATAATAACAATAATAATAAAGTGAGTAAACTATTTGCACAGGTCTTAAAGCTGCAGGAAGTTCAGCATCAACAAGCACTTCAACATCCTCAGAGAGAACAGCAGTCAAACGTGTCCTTGCTGATGAACCATCAACTTCAAGTGGAAGCAAGAAAAGCAGGATGTTGTGAGTTTCCATTCATGTATCTTTTACAATCTTTGTCTGCCTAAAAGCGTTGGCAATAAATTTACTAGACACTTTATTATTTTTAACTATCCCATCTCTGTTTACAAAAAAGTCTTTTTTCTCAATGCTCATATGTAAGATCTTCTTTGGAATTTTTGGTAGAATGGCCAGCTTGTATAGCAGTGCAGTAATTATTATTGTATGACAGGCTGGTGGTTAGGTTATGTTTGCAAGAAAAAATGTATTTTACACCAGGGCAATCACTAAGAGCTTGGGACCAGGGATTTTCCCAGCTTCTACAGTGTTGTCATTAAGATTTAATAATGTAAGTAGCCGGGCTCTTGCGAAAAGTAACAGGTTATTTATCGCTTAAATTCTTCTATGTTTGTAATGCTTGACTTATTTAGAAACTTTGAGTGGCCGGTTGATTTTACTACAGTAGCCTCCTAAAAAAGGCGGCTACTGGCTACAAATGACAGCCCTGCTTCTATGAGCATTACCTCCAGCTACTTCCATAGGAAGCAAAAGGGAAATAGAACCTAATTAAGTAGACCTGAAATCTTAGTGACAACCCCATTAAAGTGATTTGATGAAGTGTTCAATAATATGGCAAGCTGGGAAAGTGGGAGAGCACTTGGGAGTCTGGGAGGTGTAAGTGATTTGGAACACTACCCTTTTAAAAACTACCATACTGTTTGCAGGACTAAACAATTTTTTGCTTCTTACTGACTAAGTGCAGTTTTTTTTTGTTCTTTACTGACTTAGTACAGCTACACCACCCAATTGGTGCCTCTCTTAATAAGTTGTATGACAATAACAGGGAAACCTTTTTTGTCATTAAGGTACTCAGGGATGCTAATAAAATGTTAACTGTTTGTTTTGAACCAAAATCTTAAGATTATATTACTATAAACCTTTTTGCAACTGCTTGTGAAACTGCACAAAAACGTACACCCAAAAGCTGTGACTGTCAGTGTTCACATTCATAGGTACCAAACCATTTTTAAAGTTTCTGTCATTTATTGAAACTTTAGAAGAACTGTTTTTTGTCATGTTTTTGTCCAGGTTAGGAATGGATGATCTTGACAGCGATGAAGATGATGACGTGTCAGTTACTTCAAGAGATGAAAGTAAAGATATTCCTGCATTGTGTACTTCAACTACTACATCATGTACCAGCACCCATGTTGAACCCTCAACATCATATAACAATTTTGAAAACAGACATTGCATGGAGACTGGAGCAGAGGAAATTGTGGGAGAGTTAGAAGGAGAAACCAAAGATCAAACAAAAGATTTCCAGGAAAAAGACTCTGATTCACCCCAAGGAAAAAGAAATCAAGAAGGAGGGCTGAGAGAAGATAGAATTAGTGAAAAGGACCAGGTTACTGACATACATCCTGCAGAAAAGGTGAGTGAAGTAAAAGCGTCACATGTTGGGAGGTCCTCCGGATTTCAAGTGAAGGGATGATTGAAGGATTTTTTGGGGTTTTAAATTTTTGATTTTGGGATTTTAATTTTTTGGGGTTGGAAAATTTTGGCATCATAAAAAACCCCATCGAACTAAATTCATGTCTAAAAAACCCCACAAATTTTGTTAGACTTCTAAGAACTATCAAGGGTACATAGGGTTGGCACATCAAGCCGTTTATGTGAAAATACCGAGCCTTTAAAGGCATGGATTTTTTTTGGTTTTGATTTTTGCCTTTATTCGATAATCCCTGACACTTGAAGTCCCCCTAGCCATGAATTCTGGTCTTGGTAGTAAATAGATGTCATTGTGCAAATGGCAAGTGTTTCCGTAATGAAGAAGAATGCTCTTACAACAGAGTTCAGTCTTGCTTGCTTGGAGATTAGAACGAGAAATGAGGAGGCGATTACTTCTACATGAAACAGGAGGTCGAGTATTCTTCAGGATATTTACTTTTTATGTGTGCAGTCGCAGGCTATACGGGTGTAGAAAATACACGTAAATTCAAGGGCCCCGATTCCAGAGAAATTACATCATTGCCAGAAATCAAAAAAGTGATTTACATGGCACATCATTACAATCATTGCCAAAAATAAACTGTATGCTCATCACAAGACCCATTTGCATACAATGAAAGGTTACAACACCTGACCATTGCCGTTTTGCTAAAGGTTCTTAATTTTTTTCGACCACTCAGTAGTGTTTACTTGTTCGAAAGTAATCAACGCTTTCAAGCAATAGAATTTGTGGACCGACACGTTTTGGAAAAGCTCTTGATTTAATCTTTCCTAAGCTTCCTTCAGAAAACATGCATGGCTTCGGTCACTGAACGATTCTCATTCCCAATTTTCCCACAGTCTCTGCAAGGAATGCCTGGCACAATGACACCTTTTTGTGTCCTAAATACGAAGAATTAAAACGCGTTGCAGATTATGAGTCTCACTGCTTATGCAAGCAAGACTAATAATCTGTAAAGGAGGAGTCCACTACACCAAATGAAAACAGCCCATGTAGCTATATATATTACGTACATATTTTATAAAAAAAAAGACTGCTGATGACTGCTACATTGACGTTGACGATGACAAAGAAGATGAACACAACAGAGACAACAAAGACAATGATGTAAATGGTCTACTAGGTCAAATGCTTCTTTCAACCCAGGATTGATTTTATGTATGACTATTATCAGGGTTGTCAAAAGTAGCCAGCTGCAGGTGAAAATCCCCACCTATTAATTTTGGTTAGTATCCGCCGGCTACTCTGCTTGGCATTTCTTTATGGATGGCGTTTTTTAAATAAAATATTCCTGGACTGGCCGCTTACTTTGACAACTCAGCCGTCTACTTCAAAACTTTCTGACAACCCTGCTATAATACACTGTATATTGCATGATACTAGAAGGAAACATAGGAACAGTGAAGTAACTTTTCTTCTTGTAGGTTGAGTTTTGTCTGGATGACTACACTTCAGCAGAGCAACTTGAATCAGTAGGAATGCAATGTCTTAAGGAGGAACTGATGACAAGGGGGCTCAAATGTGGTGGGACATTACAGCAAAGAGCTCAGCGGCTGTTTGCTACCAAAGGTGTTCCTCTGGACCAGCTGGATCCTTCATTCTTTGCTAAACCAACAGGGAACAAGAAATCAAATGGAAAGAAGAAGTAAAGGAGTCCTTCACCTCTAGAATTTTGATTTCCGGTCTAAGCAAACAGGCTCGGTGTTGAAATTATTAAAACACTACTTGCCATCCTATGATTGAATAGTTTATCATTCTGAGAATTGGTACCTACAATAAGTTGCCACAACTTAAGATGAAGATTTTGGGATGAGTTTAACTGAGTTGTGTACTCAAGCTTAAAATAATGGACTGTTATTAGATTTTGCTAGCAATCGAACCCTTCATAATTTTTACAGTTCTGCTTTCTTCTATTTCTCTCTTTTTCTTTCACATGCCTAGAGAAAGTTGTTCATTACACTGTATTTTTTCTTAGATTTTATTGTCTCTTCTCTTTTTTAAAAACGTAAATGAGCTGTACATGTACCTGGAGTCAATAATAATTATTATAAACATTGAACCATGAACAATGTTTTATTTCAGGTTAAATACGACAACAATAATCCATCTTTATAATAATGTAAAAATATTTCAATTTGTCAAATATTTGTAGCAGAAAATAAACAGCCTTAAAACACTGAATCTTTTCTGTTGAACTTCTTTAATTTTAATTAATATGTACACTGTACACACGTACCTCTAGTTGCTTTTTTTTAGTAAATTTTCACAAAAACAATTTTGTACATAATTAGTGAAAGTGCATCCCTGAATAAAACAATAGCAGGGTTTGAATAAATAGTTACCCAAGTGCTGTTTCAGAGGAATAATTATATAAATGTGGCTAAAGGATCCCTGCAAATAGGTTCTCTTTTTGGAGAGCAAGCAAGTTGCTTTGGCCGTAGTTTTGCTAAAATAAGGTTAAGTGACATGAAAGTTAATGCAAAGCTGGTGTGAGAGCCAAATATAATTACAGTCGACTCTCTCTTAACGGACACCTTTATAAGACGGGCACCTCTGTAAAACTGACACCTAGAGTTGGTCCTTGCCTTTCTTTACTCCCTTTATTTGACTCTCTATAAGACGGACATCTCTCTTAGACGGACAATTAGTACCGGCCCCAAAGGTGTCCGACTTAGAAAGAGTTGACTGTACCAGCTTACAGGCTACCAAAATCAAAATCAAGTATTGAAATATGGCGTTGTGGCTGTGTAAAACCTCTAGGCCCTTGCAGTGACCAGTATCTTATTTCACTTTTATTCTAACATAAGAAGAATAAGGCAAAACGATCCTCAAAGAATGTGCTCATTTTTTAATATCCTTATTTGATGGCAGAAGTACAATTACCTTTTCCTTTGCATTACAACTACAAATTTACAGTGGATCCTGTGACCTCTTAGTTAGCTCTTGTAAATTTAACTCTCCAAAAAATCGGAAAATATTGAAAACCATGAACATTGAAACCTAAAGGATTTGTTGGTAAGGGTAAATTTATTTGCGTTGCAAATAAAAAATAAAGTGCTCCTTCATTTTCGTGAGCTCTTTGCATGGATGCATTCTGACAAGCTTGAGTCTCAATTTTCTTAGCAAGATTTTTACCTGTGTTTTCTCTAACCAATTATGAATTTTATTTTCTCGTGGCAAAAACAATATTTTACTTGCTGGCTCGTGTGTAAAATATTGTTTTCTCACTTGAAAATAAAATTCATATCTTTGCGCCACGGTGTAATATCCTCTATGTATATAAATATTTTTATCTCCTGATAGATTTTTATTGCTCTATTCTTATTTTTATTTTATTAACTGGACTCTGGATGAGAGTATCAATTGGTACATTTGTCAAAGGACTGCTATAAGAACAAGTGCTTTTATCGCACTTAAAAAGCAACTTAATTGGTCGCTTTCTGTTGGTGTTTGCATGGAGCAGGGTACAGTCTGGTAATTCATCCAAGTCCTTGCTGTATGCCAACTTTCTCTTTTGTTTAAGCTTCTTCATGGTGATACAGTCCTTTGTAACAAAAAAGATAAAACCAAAATAATGGTACAACAGAAAAAGCCTTACTTTGAAGAACTAGATAAATGTGCTTAAACAACACGAAGGACTAAAATTAATGTCCTTTGGGACTAAACCAATAAATTAAATACTGCTTTTAATAATAATAATAATAATAATAATAATAATAATAATAATAATAATAATAGGATATTTAATATTTTTAACAGCATATTACAAACAAACAAAACACTTGACAAAAAGAGTCAAAATTCACTTTAGACTTATAACTTTATGTACAGTAAAGTGGAAAACAAGATCATATCCCACCTGTTTGGAGACTGTCTCTGGAGTAACATTGGGCAAATCTTCTTTACTGGATTCTGGTTCCTGAGAAATGACCAGAAATAAAAAATGTCTTACTTCCCATAGTTGTCATAAGATACTCTTTTAATCCCATCGTAGTATTTCAATTCTCAGTTCTTCTTGTTTCTGCTCTGAATAACTTTTTCATCTTTCTCCATGGGTGTTTAAAGTCCTAGAATTTCAGATGTCCTTACTTGATAGGTTTTTCAAAACAAAAATGTTGCCTAGGGTTATTTCCTAGTTTTGCACTGCAGATTGCCTACCCCACATAACATTGCAACATCAGAAGGTAGTGGCTGCCAAAAAGAGGTATTGATATTTAAGGCCACTTTTGTGGTCTAAACATTTTTACAAGTGATTATAAAAACTCCTCCGCTTCAGGTTAAAAGCGTGTTGCTCTTTGAAAAATTACCTGATTTATGCTTTTAGATTTTGACTTCACAGGATCAGAAGTCTTCTCATTATTGACTGTTATTGGAGAGGTGTCAGGCTGTAAATTGAATAAATCAATGATATTAGTAGTCGTTTTATGTTTAACAAGAGATTCAACTGAACACCACCATGTGAGCCGGGACCCTTCTATCTCCCTTCAGGGTAGCCAGGCAGGCTTATATACATGTACCACCTATCAACAGTCCAGTCTCAGCAGTATGCAAGGTGTTTGTCAGATTATTCACTGTAGTAAAAGGCCTTACGGTATAGTTCCTTCAAGTCTCCTTAACCCTTTAAGTCCCAGTGGTGTCCAACACCAATATTCTCCTAACGCTATCATACATTGTTAAGAGATTAGGTTATGAGAATTAATAAAATGATCACCAAAGAGAAAATACCTTGATCTTTTACCAAATTCTCTTAACTCATTCTCTAAGGAAATGTATGAAGACCAGTTTGGAGAATTTGTATGTGGATATTGGGACTTAAAGGGTTAACTGAGGTAACAGAGCACCTGACTTGGACTAGTAACCACAAAGAAGGTTATAGATTCAACTCCTCCTGGCAGAACACTGTATATTTTTATTTTCTTCAGGTCATCTGTGTCACTGACTAAAAACCTCATTTCTTATGATCTTTTTCCTTTGTGACATTCAGTTAAATCATTTAAAGGGAAGAAGTAAATGTGCCATTTATCACTACAGCAAACTAATTCACCAGATTGAGTCCTTGTATTTTTCCTGAATCCACTGGAGTGCTACACCTAGGAAGATCTGGGGCATCTGCAATTTCCTGAAAAGTAATATTTAATAATAATTATTAAAATAAACTGTAAATGAATGTAATTAATATAGGGTTAGTCAGGTTCTCAAGAACAATCTAATTTTTTGACTTTGGTGTCAGTAATTACTAATAGTGGCCACTAATCATTTGAGAGTCATAGTATCATTGAGAAAAGATAATATTAGACAATATAACAACAGCTTTTGACACGGTGGATCATCAGATCTTATTGTCTAAGCTATCGGCGTATGGTTTGTCTGGAAATTCGCTTCAATGGTTTTGTTCCTATATCACTGACCGAAAACAGCGTACATCTTGTGGGAATGAGATGTCTAACGAGTTGCCAGTAACTCACGGGGTGCCTCAGGGTAACATATTAGGCCCCTTGTTGTTTGTTATTTATATCAATGATCTGCCAAGCATTCTGGAATGCTGCTGTGCGTCCCTCTATGCAGACGACACCGTGATTTACTGTCACGGCTCATCTTCCGAGGAGCTCAGTGAGAAGCTAAATCGTGTCTTGTTGGCCGTAGCGAAATGGCTAAACGATCACAAGCTAACTTTGAATCTCGAGAAAACCAAATCTATGCTTGTAGGTAGTAATAGGAAATTGAAAAGCAAAATGGCTCTAATAGTATCAATCTTCGACCACAATGTAAATAATGTCAACAGCTTCAAATACCTTGGAATTTTTATATTATCTGATTTTACATGGACAAATCATGTTGAATACATTGCTGGCAAAATTAATCAAAGGCTTGGTCTCCTTAATCGCATTAAGCATTTATTACCTTTTAGTGCGCGCCTTCTTTTTTATAATAGTCTTGTCATGCCTTTATTTGATTATGCAGACCTTGTTTGGGGAGACAAGCATAATGTAACCTTAATGACCAGTTTGCAAGTCTTGCAGAATAAGGCTGCTAAAATAATTTTAGACAGACCTCTTTATTCATCTGCAACGCAAGCGCTTGCCACTCTTAAGTGGGTTCCATTAGGAAAAAGGCGTTTTCAGAGAAGATGTATTTATGTGTATAAGTGTTTAAATGGACTCGTTGAGCATGATATGAACTTCATAAGACAGCAAGAACAACATGATTATAATACCAGAACTAAGCTGAATCTCAGACTTCCAAGTGTCAAGAGGAATTGGGGCAAACAACGGACTGCATTTCATGCCATCAAGGATTTTAACTCGCTTAGCCAGGCAATCTGAATATTTTTAAACGTAATCTTTTTAAATTTGTAATTTAAATGAATTTCAGTTAATATCTTGTAAATTTTAATAGTTTTTACATATTTTAGATTTTTAATGTCTTTGCGAATTGTGTGTATTTTGTATTTTGTATTTTTTTTAAATTTTATGAGATCCTTTTTGAAAACCATATTTTATATGAAAAAGTCATCTCAATAAAGATTATTATTATTATTATAACATTTGCACTGTTGTTTTGTCAAGATTCAGGAGTCAATTTAATAAAACTTTTGCAAGTGTAATTACAAGAATGGCTATTGTTCTCGGACCCTAAAACAATGACTACACTTGTAAAAGTTTTATTAAATCAACCCTGGGATCATTTTAAAACGGAACATTTATTTTAGTTAGCAAAGTGGGAAGCAAGAGTGGATACTGACAGAAGTGCTAGAGAAGTAAATGTAATAACAAAAGTTAACCTTGTTTTGTGCTTGTTTACTCTGGTACAACTTTTGGTGACAAAGAAAAGTATACTAGAACGCTCAATTTATTTAGCTATGTATTTATTCAGCATAAAAGCCCTAATCATGGATAAAAAGACACACCAGGTCCTGGCTGTTCAAAAGATGGATAGTGCTATCCACCAGATAAATCACTATCCAGCAGATAAGTATTAGGGAAACCAATTACGCTATCCGCTGGATAGTGATTTATCCGGTGGATAGCGTTATCCAACGTTTGAACAACTGGAGCCAGGTCCTGGCTGTTCAAAAGATGGATAGTGCTATCCACCTGGCCCCGGTTGTTCAAACGTTGGATAGCGCTATCCACCGTTTGAACAACCGGGGCCAGATAAATCACTATCCAGCAGATAAGTATTAGGAAATGCACTATCCAGTGGATAGAGGTTTATCCCACAGATAGAGTTATCCACCTTTTAAACAAATGGGGCCAGGCTTCCTTTTAAGGGGTGTTGTGGATCAAAAAAGGTTCTTTGCAAAAATATACTTTAAGTTCACCTCTTTGTCAAACAGATCATATGAGCCCAGTGCATCCTCTGTTTTCTTTTGGGCTGCTTCAGCCTGTTCTTTTTCATCTACTGGCTCCTCTAAGAAAACAGTCATATCAAAATAGAATTATTTTTTACCCCAAAGTTGCACATGAGAGGTTCCTTCAATGCAGAATATTATTCATTACTACTACGTGTACAAAGGCTTGTTATCGCTGTAGTAGAGTATAAAATTTTTCCTTTGCTCCTTGAGCTTTAATTTGCTGCAGAACTGAAACATGGTAATGGAAATTCTACTCACCCATTATTGCTGATAAATCCTGAGGGATTATGTCTCTCAGCTGAATTGTTAAGTCCTCCTCCACAAGTGTTGAATTGTGTGGCTGTAAAACTTGCGAGGCACTAGTTGGGACATCACCAACAGAGAAGTCATCTGAATTGACATCATCAAGGCAGGACTTGCATAGCGACATGGATTTGACAGTGGACAAAGAATGTTCATTATTGCACACTACACTTCCACACACGGAACAACAAGACATTGATTTGAATGAATAAGTAGTTGTTGAGGTGAGATGTTTTGATTTCATAAGTGGTGCCTTCTTGGAATGAAGTTTAGCCCTATAAAAGATGTAACAGACAAAAAGCAAAAATCATGATCATTTCATTACCACCCCATTGCTACTAGTCTGTCATCACTGAGTTTCACACAAAGGGGCAGTAGACATTATTACTTACAGTTCCCATCAGGCTGGTATGTTAAATTTAATTTTCACTTGTCAAGTTATTAACCAAAAAAAACAACAAGTATTCAGTTGCAAAAGGTAAAGGCAAAAAATAACGCACAAAGCACCCAGACAAATGGAGCACACCTTGGTAGCTAGATAATAATAACTTCTTACACAAATGAATGGGATGCTTGTGTGCTGAAGGGTTACCTAGCAACCCATTTATACACTTGGGTGCAAAAAGACTATAGAATTATGTTGTAAAGTTTGCACCTCAGTGTAAAAGCACACCTTAGTACCATTGCCAAAAAGCTAGATCTATACCTCTGTAATTCTTTTCTGTATGTTTTGCAGTCTTTATCATCATTGGAGCTAACTTTCGCTAGCAAAGCACTACTTGACACCAACTTTCTATCTGAAATATGAAACAGTAACAAATCTATTTGGCACAATAAAACTTCTGCAAATGGGTGATCACTTCAACTTCTTTCAAATTTGATACACAAGTCACTGTCTCCCTGAAGTGAGACAAAACCAAATTACCAGTATATGTGGATCAGAGCTAGAAGGATTTGGTTATTATAAGGGTAAACAACTAGAGTATTGTCGTGTCTTTTAATATCAATATATATCAATATATCAATATCAGACCTTAGAAAGGGTTTGCCCTGGCTGAAGAAATGGGATAGAGTGGATAGCCTGGACTTATTCAGCATCTGTTATAAAAAAGGTAAAAAATGTCGATGCCTTAGCTTGCAATGACAACATCACTTCTTACTTGTCTTGTGTGAGTTTTGGCGTGGCATACATGGAGTTCTGCTCAATGTCTTTTCCAGTGGGATGTTGCTGATGTTCCTAAGAGCTAGGCTAGAACCACGCCCTGCAAATGGAGTCATCCATGTTTTCAATCCTTATTACGTTCAAACAAAAACATCATTCTGATTAAAAATGGTCAACATATTTTTTTTACAAAAAGTAGAAGCCACAATTCTCTTCCAACTAATCAGTGGAACAGAAGTTGATTCTACGGGATTGAAAACACAAGGATGTTGATTGACTGCTTAGCAATCTTCAAACAAGCAAAACCCTAAGTAGGAAACCCTACCCCCCAAAATATCCAGACCATATCAAGGATGGCTTTTTGGAATTCTGAGGGCAAGTGGGGGAGCTCTTTGAACTGGAAATCCGAAGGCACGGGGGGGATACTTACATATGTACCACTGGAATTTAGAAGGCATGGAGGGGTTTTAGGGGTTTTAGGGTTTTTTTTTTAGGGTTTTTAATCTGGAACTTTCACAGGGGACACTGAGACAAGATTGTATTCCTTGAAAATGCTAATTTTATGGACTTAATCAGTTCACAAATAAAGCACAAACTGATGACACCGCTGATGACTGCAGAAGTAGGATACAAGACAAGCATCCATTGATCAGTGATGTTTTCATAGTCATTTGTTGAGGAAAACCAACAAAACATGGGTTGTAGATCAAGCTCCAGAGGCCTTAATGGTACAAAACATCCATTTTTCTCTCATGTAAACAGCCTCATAAATTATTTTGTCCATTTAGTGCAAAAAAGATGGTCTTTTGATGGAANATGTCTTTTCCAGTGGGATGTTGCTGATGTTCCTAAGAGCTAGGCTAGAACCACGCCCTGCAAATGGAGTCATCCATGTTTTCAATCCTTATTACGTTCAAACAAAAACATCATTCTGATTAAAAATGGTCAACATATTTTTTTTACAAAAAGTAGAAGCCACAATTCTCTTCCAACTAATCAGTGGAACAGAAGTTGATTCTACGGGATTGAAAACACAAGGATGTTGATTGACTGCTTAGCAATCTTCAAACAAGCAAAACCCTAAGTAGGAAACCCTACCCCCCAAAATATCCAGACCATATCAAGGATGGCTTTTTGGAATTCTGAGGGCAAGTGGGGGAGCTCTTTGAACTGGAAATCCGAAGGCACGGGGGGGATACTTACATATGTACCACTGGAATTTAGAAGGCATGGAGGGGTTTTAGGGGTTTTAGGGTTTTTTTTTTAGGGTTTTTAATCTGGAACTTTCACAGGGGACACTGAGACAAGATTGTATTCCTTGAAAATGCTAATTTTATGGACTTAATCAGTTCACAAATAAAGCACAAACTGATGACACCGCTGATGACTGCAGAAGTAGGATACAAGACAAGCATCCATTGATCAGTGATGTTTTCATAGTCATTTGTTGAGGAAAACCAACAAAACATGGGTTGTAGATCAAGCTCCAGAGGCCTTAATGGTACAAAACATCCATTTTTCTCTCATGTAAACAGCCTCATAAATTATTTTGTCCATTTAGTGCAAAAAAGATGGTCTTTTGATGGAAAACACCATTTTAATTTTTGAACCTCATGGGATTGGGTGTGACTGCTAAACCCAAAGGGACAAATCATGATGAGACAAATGAAAATGCACTTGATCGTAATAATATCTTCTGAGGATACACACATTCAACACAAGGTATTCTTATTGATGCTGTATGTACCAGTCTGGAGCAAAGTAAAATTAATGTAGGTTGCATTTGTTGAACAGCGGTAAGGAGAAAACTTTAATCTTTTTTGATTTTTGATTCCTGAATTTCTTGATTCATATGCACGTATGACTTCCTTTGTGCTGGCCACCTGGACTGAAGTACAGAAGTAGAGTCATTTGAAATATTTTGACGTAATAAGCCAAATTGGGCAACACATATCATCGAATCCTGCCAGTAGGTCTGAAGGGTTTGACGAAAATATGGAAAATCCAAACAGGAGGGGGGTTAAAGATTATAGAATTCCAAGGGAATGGGGGATAACACATCTTGGGAGTTCTGAAGGTAATGGGAGATGAAAATGTGGAAGCTGTCCATGGTATGGTATAGATATTTTCTGGAATCGCCCATTTTGATTTTAGGGCAGATGGGGTGCGAGATCCGGTATCATAATTATGAACAGGATACAGGATTTAGCAACTGTATGATGGAAGATTTGTGAAATGAAAGTGTAAAGAACCGCCATCCAATACTCAAGAAAGGGAAAAATTTTGACTGATTGACGATTTGGTCAGGATGATGGGATGCATGCCTGTTGAATAGCTTTAAGCTTATATGACGAACTCGCACTATTATTTGTCCTGCAGCGCCTCCTGCAGCGGTACTGCCCCGTTTTATACTTGATTATTTTTGGAATCCAGGTCAAGTCTAACGACTCTGGGTCATGATCATTAANAAGGGTTTGACGAAAATATGGAAAATCCAAACAGGAGGGGGGTTAAAGATTATAGAATTCCAAGGGAATGGGGGATAACACATCTTGGGAGTTCTGAAGGTAATGGGAGATGAAAATGTGGAAGCTGTCCATGGTATGGTATAGATATTTTCTGGAATCGCCCATTTTGATTTTAGGGCAGATGGGGTGCGAGATCCGGTATCATAATTATGAACAGGATACAGGATTTAGCAACTGTATGATGGAAGATTTGTGAAATGAAAGTGTAAAGAACCGCCATCCAATACTCAAGAAAGGGAAAAATTTTGACTGATTGACGATTTGGTCAGGATGATGGGATGCATGCCTGTTGAATAGCTTTAAGCTTATATGACGAACTCGCACTATTATTTGTCCTGCAGCGCCTCCTGCAGCGGTACTGCCCCGTTTTATACTTGATTATTTTTGGAATCCAGGTCAAGTCTAACGACTCTGGGTCATGATCATTAATGTCATTAATTTCTACACAGTTCATCAGCGCCTTTGCCATGAACTAATTAAAAGACATAAAACAAAAACAGCCATACATTTTCTCGCACATTTAAGGCTCAAAGGAAAATCCCTTCTTTGAATTCAAAATATATTCACTTGCCTTTAGCTTTCACTGGGGGAAAAGCTGCTTGTTTTGAGTTCGACTTGTCTTTTGAAGAAGGTATCCACAAGTCATCCGGCGTTTCTGGAGTAGGGAAGTGGTCCTTCGTAGCAACTTGAACTGGCTTACTTTTCGAGTATGTCGCAAACGCGTTCTTTTTTCTTCCAAACATTGTACTGAGATCATGTGAGAGGTGACAGAGAGACACAGACTACCATCACTCGCTAAAGCAAACCAACGTCATTTTTCGTGATTATTTTCCGTTGCAAGAATTCTCCTTGTCCTTAGCTCTTCATTAGCCAAAAGACGATACTTTTAAATCCTCCACTAGCAACGAAAACCCCTTACTACACACACGCCATTTTTAGCACTTTTGTCCGCCGATCCGCCATTTTGACCGACTGGCAGGGAGTTCCGAATCTTCCCGAGTAAGACCGACAATAGTTCCGGGTGAGGTTACCAACTATCATTGGCTAATATTCTCCGATAATATTTCCGACTTTACCTATTCCAACTGGCGGGAAATATGAGCGGGAACTTTCCAGAGAAAAGAGAACAGGAATTTGACAGCAAGAAGTTTGGAAACGTTTTTAAGTTAGTTATCTAAGCTTAACCTACAACTTTGCAAGGATTCCTTAAAGTTCAGCTGTTAGCAGAGAGGTAATTTCATTTGCACCTTAGAGAATCTCTAAAAACATTTCGGTCTTCAACATTTTAAAGGAACTGTTGAACGATGTTTTCCGCCGAAATCCACGTTGCATTTTCAATTTGAAGGACTTCGCTGTTTTCAAGTCAATTGTAGGTCCAGCCGACATCGGACAGATAAACAAGGTCAACTTAAATCCTTTGGTGACAATTCTCATTCGATGTAGAAAATAAATTCGAGGGCAAGTGGATTTCTGGTTGGGAAAATTAAGGGTGGTCGCTGGCATGATTTCAGATAACAGTCAGGCCACGACGTCTGAGTAAGGAAAGTTCGGAGGAAAATTATTTTACTAATGGTAGGAGAAATCTCAGTTCTTGTCTAAGTCGACTAAGTCAGTCAAAAGTCAGGTACATAATTACACTTAAAAATTCTGTGAACAACTAACACAGGTGTTGAAAATTAACACACAGCCTTGTGACCTGCAACACAAGCTGATAAAATATGAAAATAAATGTAAGAGATCATGCAGCGACTATTTATAGGACCAATCTCTTCTTTCGGTCTTCCCTGTTACTTAATAACCAGCTTTATTTGTTCCTTACAACTTTCTGAACAGAAGCTAAAATGACTGCTCCAATAAGCTTCGCACATTCTCCGTTCCTGTACCAACACGTTCCAAACTCGCCGTTTCTACTGCCACGGAGAACACAGGTTACTCAATCACCTGCGCCATTTGTTCCCGACATTGATACCCTCAGGGAAAACAGATATACAGGAGGTGTTTTACTTCAAAATGGTAAGGAAAAAGACTGCTTTGGACATACTATAAAGAAAGTCAACAGAAACGTTTGATGTATCATGTTTAATACACGTATGGTCACTGTCAACAACAACAGTCCTATTCAGGACTACGTTCACCAGGTCAATCAAACTCAACCTACTTTTGAGATGAATCCTGGGTTGGTTCAAACCTTTCACAGACATACGCATGGTATGTTGTAAACTACTTTAGTAATTCAAAAGGCTTAAAATAAAAATCAACATCGCAAGTCAACATTAAGCCTTACTCACATCTTATTTAGATTGACTTAAAATAAATCATATTGCTATAATTCATTTAATTTTTTAAAAAATTCATTTGTTGACACAATTATAGGACATGCTGTTTGTTTATACATGCAATCACAACCTAATTATTAACCTGAGATCAGGCCCAATTTTAGCGGTTCTCATACATTCTCTCTAACGGCTACCGCTAAAATTGGTTTCGTTTCGCCTTGCCCGCCGGAATGTTATTACAAAGCGAAACGAAAATTTGAGCCTGATCTCAGGTTACCTAATTATAAGCTTTTTCACATCTCCAAAAAAGGAACCTATTCTGGAATTGCAATTTCCAATAGCAAGCAGTTATCAAGGTGAATTGAGAACACACTGAATTGCTCTTTTGCACCTTTGTACCCCTAATCTCAAGTGTTCTCTTCATTGCAGGACGAAATGCGTTGCTACGGTCGCCATACTTGTTAACTGACCAACATTTGCAATCGCCTACCCCTGTTGTCCCATCTATTTCTGCGCCATCAACACCCCCGACTCAACACGCAATTTCGAGCGTGGAGAATGTTTCTTCTGTTCTACAGAAAGGTACGTGAAGGTTTTACAACGGAAATGTTCTTTTCAGCATCAAAGAAAAAATTAATAAGCGATTTCAGATTTGGTGTTTGATCCGTGTTTTCCTTCATCTCATTAACACGTATAAGCAGCCTTTAATTCTCTGGTGGTTTACCGACCAACGTAAAAAGAAAACCAGTGTCAAAAGAAAACTGCCCGGTAATAAAAAGTGACTAATAAGTATATTTGTAGTCTATAGCATACAGTGTATTGCTAATAGGATAACACGTAACGTAAAGTTAATAGCGCAACATATTTTTTCCATTAGAACAAGTTGTGCCGAATTTTTCACCTTTGACGAAAAAGGAAGAAGTTGGACCATCCAAAAGAAAAGAGAGAAAACTGGATAGCTCACCAAGCCAGGCTAGCACAGTACCAGAAATAGATTTGTTTTCAGGAGATGAAATATTTGCATGATGAATAGTCTGCTGGCCTTTGACTATTACCACAAGAGTCCATTTAAACTGAAAACAAATACGGCGTCCGTCCAGACGCGAACGCTTACAAACAGTCCGGTGAATCACAATGGATAAGTTCGTTAACGGATAAATAGCATTTTGTGTGAACCCCCATATAAACTGAATTAGTGTGCATGCACTTATTTAAATAGACTCATGTGGCTATAGATTAAGACCAGAGGGCAACTAGTGTACTTTCACAAAACAATTCTTCTTACTACTTGCTTTACAATGTCATTAGCGTCATTAGCAGACAGGATGCAAATTATTAATGACGATGCTGAATCAATGTGAGAATGATTGATAAGTTAATGTTACGGAGTTGAAAGAGTGATCCAGATTGTTGAAATATATTCAACTCACAAAAACAATAAGGCAACGCCACAAAAGCATGAATAATAATTTATTTATTTCCTCAGTGCAAACTTGACATGTACAGCCTAGAAAAGTTTGTAACACTGTACCAAAAATTGCAATGTAACCCTATATCCTTGACTTGAATGGTGGTCGAAAAAAGTTTTGAGTTATAAATAATTATTTATTATTAACCTATGTCATTTCCAAGAAATAAGTTATTTAAAAGTACAAATTTATGTAATGGATTTCTGTACTAGTCAATTCAATTTTACAAGAATGTAAGGGAATTTCATATTAAATATTGCAAACCATTTCCACCAACATTATAACAGAGAAGTTTAGTAATGTAAAAGCTGACTAATTCACTCATGTTTCTCTTTTCTCTCCTTGGCTTCCTGTGCCTTCTCATACTCCTCTTTAGCAATTGCTATTCTTACCCACTTGGGTTTTTCTGAAACCAAGCACCTTGAGATTACAGCGCAAAGGATCAGGAAATGCTCAATACAAAACACAATGGCCACAACATACCTACAGAGAAAAAAGGTGCATCAAGAAAGATACATTTATAGATTAATAATATATATTAATCCAATTATTGTATTCTGCATACAGCCTATGTCAATGACTTGTATGATTGACTGACTGTCTGAAGTTACCCCTTATATCTAAACAGACAAACAACACATGAAATTCCAAAAATAAGCCAGTTTTTGAATCTCTAGATTTCAGAATAAATTTTTTGAATTTTTATCTTTCTTTTATTTTATCCATGAGAAAGAATCCACAGAATACTTCAAAGTTAAGAATCTGATTTCGATACATTTCTTCTTTTCACCAACAACATAATATTCACAAAGTACATTTTTTATAGTTCCATCAACAGCATACCTTCCATAACCATTAATAATGAATTGGTCATTGTCAATTGTCTCATACATCCACGGGCACCAAACAGCAAGTTGCTCAGATGAAAATCCAACAATTAAACTGTTTGTGAGCATGGATAGTACCATCATACAGTATAAAACGTTGAACCACACACCAATATTGGCCACCCTGTAGTGTAAGTTAAAATAACAATTTATCAAGCCTAGAAAGTTTTGAACTATAGGGTACTGTTCAAATAAATGCTCATGACCCACAAACATTTATTCTTCTATGATGATAATTTTACAATGAATGAGATTACTGAGTGAACACGCCCAAATTTACAGATTCTCCTTCAAGGTTAAAAGGCAAAGCTCTACAAAACAGGGTTTTCAGATTATGGTTTCACTGTTTCATGTCTTTTTCCATCATACCAAATATGCTTTGATCATAATTCTAAAGTAAAGTAATGATATACCTCCTCACTTTTGGGCGCTGATACATGTACAGTAATTTAAACAAGTCAGCTCTTCCCTCAATGAACAAGAACAAAATACTGACAGCAGCAGCAAATGGGAAGGCAGAGGCAAACAATGTCACATACTAAACAAAAAACAAAGAAAAAAATTGGAAATCAATACACTTCAAAAAAGCACAATAATATTTTTTAGGAAGGACCACTAAAAAATTAGACACTTACCCCGAACTGTACAACCATTTCCAGATAATCATCAAACTGTTCATATTCTTCTAAAACAATGTCTTGTTGAGCCTGTTAATATTATTGTTGATAAAAAATAACAAAGTCAGAATTAAAGATTAAAATAATTATTACAAACTTAACAGAATTGCATGTAACTTATGGTTCAGTAACTAATTGGTTCAACACAGAGATTTTGACCATGCAATCAAAGAAACTAAACTGTTCATCTGCAAAAAGAAATGAAAAAATAACCAAATAAAAGAAATCTTCTGTGGTTGTTGTTTGTATTAATATGTTGTTTGTATTAATATGAAGCCTAAAATATGGATTAATCCACCCAAGGAGAATGTAGATGACTCCTTCAGTGTAGCAGTTCAAATACAGAGAGGTGCTTTAGCTTTTTCCTGATTTCATAAATATGTGAATGAAATAATGATTTTGATTTTTATCCATTAAGTTTATAAAAAGCTTGTTCTTGACCTGAGAGGGAATGAATGGTTTTTCATCTGAGTCTTTCTTGCTTTTGGCATACTCTCTCCGTATCTTCCACACATGACCCTTTTCAGTTACATACGGGACAAGTGATTCTGTTATTAGTCGTCGGATTTCATCACCTTAAAAGAATTACATGTGAACACAATAAGTCCTCTATTCAATTAACTAGGCTGGCTTATGCTGCATTCACACCAACTATGCATGTTTAATTAAACCAGTTTAAAAAACAATACTCTAGAAACTCAAAATCAGACCTTTACCCATTATGCAATAAACTTTAACATGCTCTGTAATTTACACATAATCTGCAAATAGCCAAAAGTCAGTAACCAGCTTTTATGATGAAAACAATAATTATTTTGGACCATGTTCTACTAAACAGCTTTTAAACATGTTTAAGCTTTGGTGTGAATGGGAAATTACAAAACTTCAGACATTCAGACGAGTAAATCATACTCCAACCCGCCCTGCCCCTCTTGGAGTTGGCAGATAGTTGGATGTTAAACAAAAATGTTATAGGTACTTCTGTACAGTCTATGTGTCTGTTACATGTTACATGTAAATGTACTCTAGAAAGAACAAGTCAAGAAGTGGAGGGTTGGTCACTGATGGGTGTGTATAAAATGCGAGCCAGTGAGTCATGCGAGCCATGCAGTCCATTGAAGAATCATTGAAAAAAACACCATAAAAATCAAAAACAGTAATACCAAAAACATTAGCTGAACGCTAACCGTTGTAAATAAGTGTTTAACCCTAAACAGCGCTTAACCCTAGCCCTAAAATGAGTGCTTAACCCTAATCAGTACAATGAGTGCTTAACCCTAATCGGGATAATGAGTGCTCAACTCCTCATCTGTAAATTTGCAGTTTTTACCTGTGTTTCCTTTTTTTTTTACCGATGCCTCGCGTGACTCCCATGGCTGGCTGGCTTGCAGTTTGTCAAGACCCGTTACTGATTGGCAGTTCACTTCATATCAAGTCAAACACTGTCTAACTGTTCAGCTCATTTCTATCAAATGTCATTTACATCAAAGAACAAATAACTGCACATACCCCAGAATAATCCAACCAATTCCCTCCGCAGAGCAACAACATTCAGTTGATAAAATGCAATGTAGAACAAGGGAAGGAAGCAGTCAAAAACTTCAAAAAGTACACGCTTTATGATGAGTGAGTTGTCCCAGTCTCTCTCTGTCCTGATTAAAAGGAGAAAATGAAAGGACAAACAGTATAAATTAGGCCAGGTTATTTCCAAAAAAGGTTGATGCTATGAAATGCTCATTTTATCCTTAGATCATGTTGTAAACTCAGACCATACATTATCATACAACAAAACAGTGGGAAATTAGTAAACCATGGATGAAATGAATGCGGTAAAATCAGAACCACCCCTGCAAAGACATTAAAAATTAAGCCTTTAGTAAGTGAATAGAAAACCTTAGTATACACGTGACAGTATTTTACAAAATAGCTACATATTTGTACACAGCAAAGTACTACACATAACGAGCATCAAAGAAAGCTTAATGTTTCAGAAAACAAGAAGACACCATGAGCATTGAGCACCACGATAAATAAAAGGTACTGAATAAGATATTTTAATCACTTGCAAATGGAAGATCAAGAGCTGCTAAACAAGTTGAAAAAGAAATTAACTAAGTGCAAACAAAGTGTAGCTTTTCTAAATGTTTTGACAACCTCTCAAGGTCAAATGAGAATTCCATCTTGAAAATTAAGACCACAAAAAAGAGAACAGTTCCCTTTATCTCTGTATAAATCATCATTTACTGGTATGGATCCAGAGGCCAAAAACCTTCCGGCACAACTACTACAATTATTCAATGGTCATCTGCATACCTGTGATTTTCCAGGTCAGTACAAAAGTGCGCAACAGAGCGGTAAAGTTTGTTCAAAATATTGATTACAACTGAATGGCCAATGGTAGGAATTAAATAGCCATAATACTCATTATCAGCTGCAAAAATGTGACCCTGAAAACAATAAAAGAATCAGGTGATTACATTTTATCTGAGATCTCTGTATTTCTACCATAAATATTAAACATGAAAAATTGCTCAAATAGGTGAAACTGAAAACAATTAAAATGAGAAGTTGATTTTTAATATAAAATGCGGTAATTAAAATAAACATACACACAGCTGGTTATCCGGAAGCTCATCGACAGGCAAAAAGTATTGTCTAGTCATCATGGAAGTGCTGGCCAGCTATACTGAACCCAAAGGAAATATTTTTTTAAGTAGGATAATTTATCTGTCATATTTGTTCCTCAACATTTTTGTTTGATAAAAAACAATGACGACATCAAAATATACCAAATGTGGGTATATATGTTACAGGTCAAAATTAAATTCAGGTTTTCATAATTTTTCTCCAAATCAGGTTTTTTTATGGCGTGTGGAACAAGGGGAGAATTTCATGAAGGATCAAAAAATTTTTCTTTCAGTCAAAAAAATAGGAAACAATGTAACATTTAAAGAAATGGAAAGAAAACTATATTTAAGCTGACTTACAGGTTCTGCAAAGTAAGCAAAAGCAGCAATGTAAACAGGGCTTTCTTTGTCTTTAATGTAACCATTAAAATTAAGTGAACACAGCATTGCACCAACGGCCAAGGCAAGAACTGGCAACGTAAGAACAAAACTTAAGCCATAACGCAGCCATCTTTTCCACCTGGGAAAGTACTTTTCAGGTTGGCCAGTGATGGGGCTTGGCTGCATTTTACCAGTAAATTCTGGACGTAGTAGCTCTGATTTTTCAAGGCCATGTGTGCGCCACAAGAAGGAGTATTCTGATTCTTTTCTCTTCCAGATCTGAAAGGACACAGGAAAAATAATAACTTCAACTGAATAATTATTATTAATAGTGGCTTGAACCGTGGATTAATTGACAGAGATGTGCAAACTATAGCATTATTCACCAAACTTAGGTTTCTAAAGGTTATTTGAACACATACATATTTTGAACAGGGGGTATTGGTGTAAGACAACCATGAATAAAACTGCAATATGTGTGCTCAAGATTTGTTTGAGTGTTTTTTGGGAGGATTATCATCATGATGATAGCAACCGGAATGTCAAAAAAGCAACACATTTGACATACAAAACGACACTGCACGTGTATCACACCTTTGGTAAATTTCTTTGCCATTACTACACAATTACTATGATGTGAAATTCTCTAAGCGAGGTTGGGTGGCAGTCAGGTCAACTCACAAAAACACCTTTTTCTTTTGCTATCGGAACTCTGACTTGGACCTTAATAATCCTGGTGAGCCAGCCCTGCTACAATATTCATAATTTATAAAGAAATTTCTTGGCCCACATGTATGTACAATGTACATGTATCTAGGATGAAATGTAGGCCTTTCAATTACACAATTTGTAAAAAAATTTCAAATATCCAATCAAGTTGAAATAAGAGCTTTGTCTCTATTTTTTTCAAGTAAACAGTTTACTCACAGCAAGAAAACTTATTGCCCAGAAAGCCGTCAGTATTTCATATACTGGTAACAGAGGGTTGTCATCCACAGTCACACCACGAGGCTTAAAGAAGTATAACAGAATCCCTACAAATGCTATTGGTACTAAAGTCCAGGTAAAACATGTCATCCAACCAAAATAGAAGGCAACACTTTCACCTACAATAAAAAAAAATAGCTCAATACAATGGCCAAATCCAAGAGGAGGTTAGCCTGAGAAAACAGTCAACATTTTGTTACGCCACCACTTGTTTTCCAATGAAATAAAGTCTGACGAACAAGCACAGAAAATTCTATCCTAATGACCTGTTGCATGCTAGCTTTTGATTGGTAGTGATTGTATAGCATAATGCATGTGTTTTTAGGTGTGTAGTCCGTGTGTGTATGTGGTAATTATTGTCATTGCTGTCAACTTTGGAATAAATGAAATTTAAAAAGATGCTTCTGACTGGTCATGCCATAAGGCAAACATGCTTGATCAGCCAATTAAAATCACTACCCTGTGATCTGGGAGTTAACATTTCATCAGTAAGGAATTTTTTGCAGTTGCGTCTCAGACATCATTTTGCAGGGAAATCAGTAATGATGTTGAAAAATGTCAGCTTTCTCAGGCTAAGAGGAGGTATGTACCCCAATTTTTTATGAACCCATTTACCTGGAATCCAGGCCATTTTTTGGTCAATATCAAGCCAAAAAGAACCAAAACCCCCAACATGTTGTCACAGCAGTATGCCTTAAAAGTCATGAACAAAAGCCTTTATACTACACATGTCTTGGATTCCCTCCTCCCACCCCATACAAGGTTGATTTTAAATTTCAAAATTGTATAGGGTAGGAGAGGGGGATCTGCAAGACATTTGTGAGGAAAATAGCAAGGCGTTAAGAAGGAAATCTAAAATTATAGGCAGTTATGAATATTGCATAACAGTCCCAAGGACTTTTGTCCAGAATTGCAGGTTTTTGTTCTTGATATTACAATTTACAGTTTCTGAAGTTTAGGCATGGTTGCAGAGGACAATATGTTGAGTTAAAGTTCTGGGAAAAAACAGAAGAGACACTGTCACTTTCAACTTCAACATTTCACTTTTCCTTTCTCCCCACTTCTTTCTTGTCCTATTTTTCTTCTTGACAGGCATTAACATTACTGCTTAACTGACAGACTACCAATGCATTTTAAAAATAATGTAGACTTGACTAAATTATTTGTACTAATCAGGTCAATATAGCAAGTTTAATACCCTCAAATGATGATAAACAGCTCTTTGTGTCTCTGATGATGGCATCTGTGTAAGTTGCCAAAATTCAGTTACCATAATAACCAACAGTCCTAATTCAGGACTAATAATAATTGAACACTCACTGGTACCATCATAATTATGTAACCACTTAAATTGACAGTAGAGCGTGCAAAGAAAGTAGTGTGTGATAGCCCAGGGCTAGTGGATTTTGCTATCGGGCTAGTGAATTCTGTTTTTAACTTGCCCAACGGGCCAGTGATGTTTTTTGAGCAATTTGAATAAAGGAAGAACTGTGAAATCAATTCTGCTCATCAAAAGGCCTTTGGGGCTAGTTGAAATGATGTCTGGGCTAGTAAATTCTAGCTTCAGCTTCCCGAATGGCAAGCTGTAAAAATGATTTTCTTTGCACCCTGCAGTATAATGACATGAATAATACTAAGGATCACAGTAATAATATTGTGAAGTTACCATAGTAATCTCTTATCTCCTGCAAAGGACATACAATCACATTTTGCTTCATTTTTTTCCAAATTTTTTCCTGTTCATGAGGGTGATGAAGAGGAAATGCTGACTCTAAGATTGGAGGTTTAGAATGCAGACAGTCTGTAATGAATGAGTCCTCCCCCCTAAACTTGATACTGTAAGAAGCCAGATGTTCCTGAAATAATAAAATTGTTGCATGAACACCACTAACCTGGTCACAAGTGATAGGAAGGAGGAAAAAAGAGAGCTAAACAAAAATTATCATGTTTTTACTTGGATCTGCATCTGTTATCTGAATCTTACTTTGGGTACAACAAACTGTGGGACATTTTGGGGTAAATGTTTGCATTAACTATTAGAGCAAACATAATTTACTCCAAAATGACCCACAGTGGGCCACAGCCACTTTGTTCCACCCAAATTAAATTCAGAAGACAGATGCAGTTCTAAGTAAAAACATGATAGTTTACAAGTTAGAATACAAGGGCTAAAGGCTTCAGCAAGATCAGGATATTTGCCCCAGGAAAGTACCATGTTTACTTTTTATTGTTACAAGGCAGACCATTCAGATTCTCCACGACATTTTCACAAAACACTGAAAAATGATCTATGATCCACCCCTAGAAATATTATGTAAGAGAGATGAAAATATGTACAGTGTTAGGTTTTTGATTGTGAATTGGGTGTGCATTTGATAACTGAATATCTTTTGAATGTTAAAATACACAATAAAAGCAATAAATATTATTGTTATTATTATTATTATTAATTGTTGACAAACCAATTACCCTACAGGACCACTGAATATCACTCAAAAATGTAGTCTTAATATTTTACCAACTAAGGGAGAACTGAATTGTGGCGTAAAACAAAGTACATTCTACAATAGGTATGATAATTGCATCAGCCACTAGGTCTGATGGGTACAAGCAAAATCTGCCAACACAACTCACTTTGTCATACTGGACAGATTCCAGACAGATCTCAAGCAAGTATACCCTTTCTGCTGGGGTAAAGAAAGTTTCTTGATTGTCACTTCCAGCAAACTTGTCAAGTTCTTCTGTAACAAATTCTTTAACCTTAAAGAAAAAAGACAAGAATAAAAAGTGTCACCTCAGAATGCTCAAGGATTGAAGGCTTCCTCAAGTTTGTGATGGCTAACACCCAGAAAACTGGTAGACAGATGGAAAATAAAGCTGGTCGAACCTTAGAGAAGAGATACTGCCTTGGATAGATGGATAGAGATTTATCCATTTGACAGCATTATCCACCTTTTCAACAACTGGGGCTAGAGAATTGTTTTTGAGGCACACCTTCCTCAAATACGGTACAAGTTTATTTTGGTATTGTGATCCTTCCATATGTTGCAGTTAATTTTTTTATATAATTTATTTTTTTATCTGTTTTTCCTTTGTTTTAAATTCATTAGCATACGTTACCATACCCAAAAACAATGAAAAAATAAAAATTAACTGAAATAAAAAAATAACAACAACATATATATAGTGCCCTTGAAAGTTCAGTGGTTAAACTGTAGCACCGTGGCAGAGTATTCTGCAATTAAGCCTAGAACCTCAACCCCTGTTAAAAATTGAACTACATGTTCAAGACAAACATAAAAAGAAGAGGGTAGTTTTATTTCGCAGTGATGGGTATATTCATTTTGAAATGTTTATATACCAGTACCAAAGCTTATGATTGCTACCGAAATGAAGTTAGTGATTAAAAGGATATAATTATTAAAATCCAGTTTTTAATAGAAGAAGGATAAACGTGCATAGAAATCAATAATTCAAATTCATAAACAACTCGCCTTGTTTTCATTCTTTGTGGTCTTCTTCAAGCCAACATCTTCCGCCTGAAACAAAACAATTCGTTAGTACAGCAAAATATCTTTAAGCTTAAATTCAAACCATATTCATTCTTGCGAGAGGAGAAACTCGAGAATATGATTTTTAAAGTTCCAAATTAACGTATGATATGCATTCAGTTCGTCTCCAGCGCCGGTTTGAAGCTCACCTTATTTGCAAGTATCCTAAATGGTGCATCAACAGTCAATAATGTTTTCCCCTCGAATTCTTCGCGGGTTACACTAAACTTAGCCCGACTCAAACAATCAACAAAGTATTGTTTGACTTCTTCTTTCTCACATTTTTCAGAGAAGCAAACGAGGTACTCGCCCGCCGCCATCTTGCCTCCTCGATGTCACGTTTTCCAGTGTCACGTCACGTCAACTCACCATCTCCCCACGGCCAAATCAAGGGTGGGAAAATGGCGCGTTTTGGACCCGGAAATCCCCGAAGCGTGCAATAGCGGCGTTTTCACAGACCAGTTTATTTTTAGCATCATTATGGATTTTTTTTCCCGCGAGAATGAAAGCACCGTTCCCTTAGATACATACCGTAAAATTCCGAAAATAAGCCCCAGGGCTTATAGTTTTCAAAGGCCGTTTTTGAGGGGCTTATTTTTTGAGGGGCTTATATTCGGAGGGGCTTATCTACGGAGGGAAATTAGCGTTTACAAATCGATTGGGCTAGCCTAATAGTTGGAAGTAAATTTAACGTTTTTCTGTTGTTTTACTTTGTATTTGAGGGCAATTTTCCAAGTACAAGTCCCCGGAGGACTTATATTTGGACCTTTTTGGGGGGCTTATATTTGGAGGGGCTTATTTTCGGAATTTTACGGTGTACGCTTATTACCGTATTTATTCGATTAACCGTCCTAGACGCTTATTAAATTTTTGGACCTTGAGAGTGGGCGCTTATTCGAGGCTGGGCGCTTATTAAATTTTAAACATTTTCCGCAAGTGAAGTATGTTTATTTTGTAACAAAACAATAAATGCTAATAACAAAACGCGAAGAAGTAACAAAGCAAGGTTTCTGCAAAATACTCTGAAGAAGACTCGGTCCTCGGGGAAGTCTCTTATTAGAATTTATTCACTCAAGTGGATGGGGTGGGGTGAGCGCTTATTTGAGTTTGATTGGGAGGAGTAGGGGGTCGGCGCTTATTCGAGGTGGGCGCTAATTCGAGGTTGGGCGCTTATTCGAATAAATACGGTATGCTCGAAAATTTGAGCATTATTCTTGTAGACGGTCATCCTCAAAACAACAGCTTTATGCCTATTATGCTGGAAAAGTAGCATTATGCTGGACTGATCTTGGCTGTATTTGATGCCCTTTTCCATCCTCGAAGACATGAATTCAGAATACAACGTTTTATTGCATCGATATCGGTTACAAATAAATAAATAAATAAATAAATAAATAAATCCAAGTCGATTGTGCTCTGTGTAGCATACCGCCCCGATGACACACCTCTCAGCTTCTTTGAAGATACATTGAAACCGGTCTACACCCAAGCCCTGTTATTGAATAAGCCAATAATTATCCTTGGTGACTTAAATTGCGACGGTCTCGATAGCTCTTGCCGTGAGTATGCAGCCATCAATAGTTTTACACGTGAGATGAACCTACAGCAGTTAATAAAAGAGCCTACCAGGATTACGGCCACTACCGAGTCATTATTAGATGTCATCTTAGTCTCGGACCCCTCGTCTGTTCGTAAGAGCGGTGTCATTAACAATCCAATCAGTGACCACCTTCCTGTTTACGTTGTTTTGAAACTGAAATCTCCTAAGATTTCTCCTCATTATGTAACAGTGCGCAGCTACAAGAACTATGACCCCGAAAATTTCACCTTCGACTTGGCGTCTCATTCTGACTCCTTACTTTCAGTGTTTGCTGCACCTGATGTAAACAGCAAGTTTGGCATTTTTAATAATGCTTTTCGCCAAGTACTTGATGCACACGCTCCGGTAAAGACAGTCAAGATTCGCAACCGCCCATGCCCATTTGTCACCGAAGAGATCAAGGATCTTATGAAAATAAGAAACCGTCTCCATCGTCGTTTTCTCTTAACGCGCAATGAATTTGACTGGGCAGAATATAAAATCTCCCGCAATAGTGTGAAAAAAGCTCTCATTGAAGCTGAAAAACATCATACATATCAAGAAGTTCAGAATAATATGAACAACTCGAGATCCCTTTGGAAAGTGATCAACAACATCGTTCCATCGAAAACACAAGAGAAACTCGTCTATTCTAAAGACCTCAAGACCGTGGCAAATGAATTTAATTCATATTTTTCATCCGTAGGAAGCCGCACGGCTGAGGCTGTTGCAAAGCTGGCATTAGAAAATAATATCATCTGTTCAAACTCATCCATGCCAGATCTTGTATCATCTTCCGATGATTGCTTCAGGTTCACTCCCGTGAGCATCGAAGTTGTAAGGCGTACCATCTTGTCTTTACCATTGAACAGAGCTCCAGGACCTGATAAAACCAAAGCTAGAGTATTCAAGGACGCCCTACAAGTAATACTCGGGCCTATTACTGAGATAATCAACTGCTCACTCGTTACTTCTACTTTTCCATCAGACTGGAAGATCGCTGAGGTCATCCCACTCCTAAAAGAGGGAGACCACGAACAGCCTCCGAATAATCGGCCATTGTCACTACTTAATGTTGCGTCTAAAGTTTGCGAGAAAATCGTTCTTGAACAATTTATCACCTACCTGATGTCACGTAACCGCTTGTCATCCCACCAAAGCGGCAACAAGTCACTCCATTCAACTGAGACCTTGAATATTTACACCACGGATCTAATTTTAGAGGCGATGGACAAAAAGGAAATAAGCGCATTAGTCCTACTCGACCTCTCAAAGGCTTTCGACAGTATTTGCCATCAGAAGTTACTCCAGAAGCTCTCCGCTGTAGGTGCCTCACCCGCCGTAGTTCAGTGGTTCCGCAGCTACCTTTCAGACCGGACCCAATCAGTGCGTATCGATTCTGTGCTATCAGATCCATTACCAATCACACACGGAGTCCCCCAGGGAGCGATTCTTTCGCCGCTCCTCTTCTGTATTTATCTAAACGATCTGCCAGGCGCTCCTCAATTCTGCCAGCTCGAGTCATACGTCGATGACTCTAAAGTTTTGCTATCTTTTTCCGTAGCCGATGTCATTGATGCAAAGTTCAAGCTCGAAGATGATTTGCGCAATGTTGCCACCTGGTGTTGCACAAATGATTTGTTAATAAATCCTGAGAAAACGAAGTTCATGTTGATCGGCACCAAGCAAATGATAAGTAAACATTCAGTTAATTTTACTGTTTCGTTTATTGGAAAGACTCTTATGGCTGTCGAATCAGCAAGAGATCTAGGAGTATACATAGATTTACACCTGACCTATGACACTCATATCTCTCACTTAGTCTCTTCTTGCTTGACTAAACTGGTTCAGATCAACCGCGTGAAATATTGTTTTGATAGGAAGACTTTGGTTTTAATTATTACATCTCTTGTCTTTAGCAAAATGCTCTACTGTTCGACCGTGTGGTCTAATACCTCATCTAAGAACATTGAAAAGCTGCAACTTATTCAGAATTTCGCCTGCAAAATTATCTGCGGCGCTCGGAAATATGACCACGTGACGCCATTACTTGATGAACTCAACTGGCTTCCAGTTAGCAAGATGCTCAAATTCAGAGACGCTGTTATGGCTTATAAGTGTGCCAGCAATTTAGCTCCTGAATACCTATGTACTAAGTTTAAAAAACGATCTTCTGTACATAATCGCACAACCCGTAATAATGAGAAGTTCGAAATCCCATTATTCAGGTCTACCACCGGCCAACGAACCTTCGCCTATAGAGCAGTATCCCTGTGGAACACGTTAGACGAAGACCTTAGAAACGCTACAACTGTAAAGGCCTTTAAGAAAGCCCTGAAACTTGTAATGAATGAATGATTGTATGACAGTTAGCATTTAACAATATTAGCTTGTTAGATATAGTTTGCATTTATATTTGTAAATAGGTACTGAAAAACCTTTTTTGGGAGTATTTATTAAAGTTTTATATTTATTTATTACAAATTTCGAACTGGTAGCCATGATGGATAGCCGCCTATGCGACAAGACATTGAAAGTAGCAATGTTAATTCTCACTGAAAGCACCTGGAAGTAAAAATTTCTCATTACAGTCATGGAAATATTATTATTTTTTCATTATCAGTCTCTTTATACTGAAAAAAAAAATGGCCATTATGCCGGCATTATGCTCGATGCTCCGACCATAGCATTATGCCCAAAATTATGCCGGCATAATGTATCTAACCCTTCTATCTGTACGCATCAAGAGCTATTAGTGAACTTACGGCAACAGGACGGGAGAGCAAAGAAGACGGCAAACCCATTCGGGCTCGAGGAATAATTGTTAATTATTCTGTCCAAGACTGTGGTCCTGGCGGAGAACTTTCTGAAGAGGATCGGCCGAAGACTAGCAAAGTGGAAATCAGATCAGATACGGTATCAGATACGGATACGACATCAGATTCCAGTTTGCTTATATTTCATGATCTTCTCTAATTTATACTGAGATCAGGCTCTATTTTCGTTTCGCTTTTAAAATTACATTCCGGCGGGCAAGGCGAAACTAAAAGTTTATTTTCAGACCCCTCTTTTCATATTCATAGCTAACAAAAATTACTTCAGTTCCAAAATTTCCACTCTTGCTGAACTCTTTGTTCTTCTTATTTCTTTTATTTTGGATCTTTTGAAGCCACTGATTTAAAAGTTTGTCCCTGAAAGGCCGGTTAGATTTTTCGACCCGTTCGCCACAACATTTCTAAACATCATCTGATCATTGCAAATCTTCGAATGGATCTTCAGGTGGCTGTTGTTATAACAGAATTTTCTACAAGTATTAACTTTCGAGTGTTTGAATTTCACGAGGATTTTCATTCGTAGGTCTTTAATTTCGCGATTTTTTTTACAATGGCGAAAAACGCGAAATTAAGTACCAGTATTAAAGGTAGTCCATTCCATCCTAAATGTCACTGAGTTTGGAACAATTTGACCTTAGTTTTTGTCTTTTCCTGTTGAAAGAAGCCATCTCTGGCCACCAAGATGTCAAATGTCCCTGGAAGATTAAAGAGCATTTAATACGGGTCCGGTTTAGTCCCCACCCACCTCCCCCAATTTCTAAATCCCGCTTAGAGGTCCCTGTCTGTGTTGGACTGCCTGTGGCAGGGCCAAATTGTTTGACAACTTTCCACAAATAAAGGTTTCTCATTTCTTCATGAACAGGACATTTTAGAAGACAAGGTTTTTAAGAAAAAAAATGTCATTCCACCGTTCACATTCTTTCTTTTTTTCTTTATTTCAAAGAAGCAAGCAAAAATAACAGGTGAAATATTGATCCTAATTATTTGCATAATTTCAAGAAGGATCTTTTACAATAAATTTTTCATAAGTTACTGTTATTTCAAACGTCTTAATTTTATACAAAACTATGCAAGTATTGTTTCCTCTCAGGTTAAGCTAAAGAGAAATAGAAATTTCCACTTTTACAAAATTTCGACATTTTTATGATGGGAAATCGTCTCAAGCCATGATAAAGTTGGCGTTACAAAAATAACTAAAGCGCAATTTAGTGCATATCCGTGATACGGAGTAATCTAATAACTCAACGCACCTGCAAAAATTATTGTAAACCATTGGTCATTAAATCCGCTCTTATTCGATATGCAAGAAAGAAAAATTTAGCGTTTAATTTTAATCTATTAAATTTCCTTATGCTCTTCTTCCTTATCTGATCGTAGCTTACTGCCAAACCTTAAAACAATCCCACAATTAATTAAACAAATTACTACCATTAAACCTAAGCTGTTCGCAAAAGTTGCTATTGGAAAGCGTTCCAAATCGTTGCGTCTCGACTCCATTTGAATCTGGATGGCTGTAAACTGGTCGGCGGAACCAAGGGCTGTAAAAACATGTAGGAAATGATGGCTGTGCCCTATTATGTCAAAAACTCCTGGCATTAATCTCTCTGGCATCCTGGACATGTTTGCCAAAGCTGAAATCAGGTAGAAGTAGCAATGCCTCATGAAATACGAAAAAGCCAGTTGCTCGTGCTCTGTTTCAAGTGTAGCAGACGGTTCCACGAGAAGGCGATGCAAATATGGAGCGCTATTGCACAGAAAGGCAACCCCGAAGCAAAATGTTCGAATAACGTACTTCATCTTTGACCATCGGTGTCGAGAGGCACAACAAACTACAGTTGACAAAACAGAGATGAGACAAGAAACGCTGAGAAAAATGGTCGAAGAACTGAAGAGCATTTTATCGCTATCGAACGAGCGACTGTAGAAATAAAATGCTTGTCCTGCTCCAACACTATACACGCTTATCGCTGCATAATCGAAGAAGAAACAAATGTGGCGAACTCTAGGAGACATGGAATTGAACAGATGAGCGCCAGAACTCATCAACAAAAATCCACATATTCCAATAGCGAACGACAGCAAAGGGTAGGCGTAAGTGTCGGTGATGCCGTACTTCCAAAATAAGGACGCGAAGCGTACGAGAAAAAGCAGAAACGGAACAAAGTGCGTCCAAACGTTGACGGTTTCGTTTCGCGGCTGAAAAGCACTTCTGACACAGTCCAAAGCAGAACCGTAAGGTTTGCGATAACCAGAGCAAATAAACATTTCGCGGAATTGAGCAGGAACGTCTTCGGAACGCAAACCAAACTTAACCTTCTTGTGCTTGTGTTCGGCATTATGTATCTTTTCCATTTTAGCCATTTTAGTTTATGGTAGCTGTTATGGAAAGGAAAAAAGAAAAACAAGCAGTTCTGATTTCGCTCTTTCCGCTGTCAAATGACTGCTTACACTCGTGGTTTGCAAACGGAATGAAAATGAAAAAGCCGGTTTTGCAAAACAATTGAATTCGCCACCCGGTAGAGTATTTGTTTACCCTCTCGCTCATTGGTGGAAATTGCCGATGGGTTTTCCTGCAGGTGTAAATTGCTTTCAAAATGGTTTTCCTCTGAACAGGATAGAAGATAATTAAGTGACACCTCTGCGGACCGGAAAAAAAGATTACCATAACATTTTTCTAATCCCTCACTTAAGATTACTTTGCAAGTTCAAAACTGAATTCAACTAAGCTATCAGGAAATCTCAGGGAAAAGAATAAATATTCTGATTTGTTTTAGTGTGAGATTTACACAAAGAAAGGAATTTCAAAGATTTTGTTTACATTTTCAAATCTTTTATTATGAACGACAAAAACATTATCCCGCAAGCAGATGTCTCCAATTTTCTAGGAGGGAATGCGTCTAGGTAAAGAATTAAAATATATATATATATATATATATCTAGCCGCGGATTTTTTAAAAACCAACCTAATGAAATTTGCCGTCATTGGAATGACAAGGCGTCAAAAGGTAGGTTTTTTTAAAGTCTGACAAGCTCCAAATTCAGAAGAAAGGAGGAGAAGAGAAAAAAGCAATGGTTGCACTCTTAGTTTTTATAATAGCTACTTTGGAGAAAAAAAATGTTGGACACAAAAGTCCATTTAGCGGCACGTTTTCAAAAATCCGACTAGATTAGATTCCTCCTCGCTCTTTCTTTTTCTCCTTTCCTTTTCCTTCGTTAGTGGTGATTTTCGAGCTTATCGGGCCCGAGAAACCTGCCTTTTGACGCCATTTCGCTTCAATGACGGCAAATTTCGTTAGGTTGGTTTTCAACAAGTCGGCTAGATAAATTAAGCAATAAAAAAAATAATAAAATAACATCGCGTTTCTATTTCCTCACATTTATCATTTTAGGTTTCCTATGCACGGTGCACAAAGATTTTGCGTTGGCTTTGCCTTCCTTAAAAGTTTTTTGTTTCTAACTGAGGCAGAAAAATTGAAGATGTTATTTTCATAATAGAAAATAAATTTATTCTTTTAAAATCTGCGACACTTTTCTTTATCTATACATCATGATTTGAACAATAGTCTAAAATCTGACTGGTTATCAAGGGCCTAATTAGAGCACTACCTGGATAGTGCGGGCATTTGGTATTTATGCCCAGGTAAATGGATATTACTTGTCAAAGAAAACCGTTAACTGTTAGTCTGCTACACAGCCGTTTTTATTGTCGTCACGCAACGCTGGGGAGAAGCGTTGCGTGACGACACTAAAAACCGGCTGGGTAGCAGACAAATAAGCTCTGGGCCCAGTTTAGTTGTTCGAAGATCGATTAGCGCTAGCCCAGGATTAAATTTCAATCCGGGATTCTTTTTCTCTTGTTCAAACGCAATTTCTCGGATAATTTTCTCCAATTCTTTGTAGAGCATCCAATGAACAAATTTCAGACAAAAATATACTAAGTTAAACTGAATTTGCTCTTTAAGCTTTTATATCTGAACTTGAAATTTCGCACTAACCCTGGATTATCTTAATCCAGCTTTTAACAACCTCTGTTGTTCGAAGGCCGATATTTGCGCTTAACCCAGGGTTAAATTTAACCCGGGTTTCTTTTTCTTTTGTTTAAAAGCATTTTCTCGTGTATTTTTCCCTGTTATTTTTAAGAGCATCCAGTCATCAACTTGTTGACAAAAAGAATTAAACTGAATTTACTTTTTA